ACCATCTTTGGTGATATATATGGTGAGAGAGAGAGAGATTTTTTACTTTGCTAAACGGTTTAGTACCTTTCAGAGAGTTCACTTGCAGGCCACGTCTTTTTATAAGTCCATGGAGACTCCTTCGATGAAAGGTTAAGGTTCATATTTCCATGTTCACAAGTTTAGACTCATCGGATCTGGGTTTAAATGTTGACTGCTACTTTGTGAGTTTGAGGAAGCTTTTGTTAAAAAAGAGCCCTTTACCCTTAGTTCCCTCGTCTGGAACATACAGTACCGCCGGGGGTTTGTGAAGATGAACGAGTTTCTATACGCACAGAGCCCAGCCATTGGCCTCATTGAAAGAGCGCTATTTCCCTCTGTTATCTGCCACCCAAAGAGATGGAACAAAACTACTTACTGCAAAGGCATTTCTCTTCTCCGGCCCTAAAAGCAAGGGGACGCCCTGGACCTATATGTTCTGACAATATGTAGGTCAAGTCTCCAGACTTAAAAAAAGCACCGTGGTCAGTGCTCAAGAGGAAGAACAAGCTCCTTTAATCTCATCTCTCTTTTTGTCTCCACTGCCATGGAAACTGAGTTAATGTCTATTTTTAATTTAACCTGAATGAATTCCTTATGCTGGAAAGGTAGCTAATAGAGACTGGGATCCATTTAACTAATTTGGGATTTTATGTGGTGTCAACACCTTTAGAAACCCAATTTTAGGCACAAGTCAAAAAAAAATATTTCTCAGAGTAAACCGTGGAACAAAATGGCTAAATTTTTTCAGAAGGACGTCTTCTTCATCTATCCCGCCAACTGGGTAACCTGGTTAATTTTTCATTTTCTTTTTATTCAGGCAAGATTCTACTATCTTAAGGTTGATTCAAAATAGAGGAAATGTGTGGGAACATCTGAATAGTGCATCAGAGTAACAGTAGTTAAGGTGAATACATTGACTCTTAATTGTCCTCTGAAGGGACCAACCATGATACCCACAATATGATTAAGAATAATATGGTGTTAAGTCTAGTCACCAGATATCATAAGTAAATAGAACCATTTATGATGCACAGAGGGAAGAATTGTTTGAAGGACGAGGTAATAGTGTCCTAAGCAAAAAGGAAGACTATAATCATAGTTCTCTGAAACCTTTATCATCAGCCCCAGCTTTCTCTGTTCATTTCTTATCAGCCCCTGCAAGGCTCACTCCAGTTATTTTATTCTTTTTTAATTGAGGGCAAAATCCTGCAAAGACTGCATGTTCTAAGAGACTGAAACTTGAGGGAGGATTGTATTTGGTTCTCATTTATTTGGGAGTGGGAGAGAACTTATTTAACTTCTGATGCTACTCCACATCTCATGTATTTTGTTACTTGCTTGATACTAGTATTTCTTTTCTAGCTTTTGCCTGGAAGAAGAAAGAGAACTATTCATTTATTTCCTCATCTAATTCCCAGTTTTGAAATCAGCTGTACGAAATTCTCAAATAGTTCATTAATGTTCTATGCACAGGCACCTCCACTATGGATAGAAAGTGCCATTTTATCCCATTTTTCTTGGATTTTTGGGTTATTTGGCTCATAATTAGTAGGATACAACGTAAATTTTGAAAAAGAATAATTTTAAATATAAGACCAAATGTAATACTTTGAGATGTTTAAGAAAATTTGTATTTATCATCCCCTTGCTTTTCTTTATACATTTACACTTTATACAGTATCCATGAATAATATTTTTGGCTTTGCCTGTTTTTGCATTTGATAAAAATGAAAGCATACTCTAAAATATTTTTAAATTTTTTTCATTTAAAGTTATATTTTTTACATCCAAACTGATATAGCCATACTACTGCTACATTGCATTGACTGAATACAAAAAAATTATCCATTTCACTGTTGATTGATTTTGAGTTGTTTCCTGCCCAGTTTTGCTATTGTAACCTTTCTTGTGCATGTCCCCTGGTGTACCTGTGAATGTTTCTCTATAATACACGGAAAGTGGGGTTATTGGGTCATGAATATGTTCAACTTTACTAGGTAATGCCAAGCTGTGGGGAGCACTAATTGATGTCATCACTATCAGTTGCTTCGTATCCTTGCCAATACTTGGTATAATTTTTTGCCAGTCTGTTGGGTAGAAAATAGTATCCCATGTGTTACTTTGCTTTTCATTTCGTTTACATTTTCCTACTAATAAAGTGAAGCATCTTTACATGTGATTAGTGGCCATTCAGATTTCCTCATCTGTGAAATGTTTGTTCTGTATTTTGCCCATTTTTCTATGATTATTTGGTATTTTCTTTCTGGTTTATAGTTCATATATTCTGAATCTTAATCCTTTGTTGGTTAAATGTGTTGCAAATTCCATATTTCTTTCTTTTTCTTCAGCCTGTTTCCCCCCCTTTCAGTTCATCTTTCTGTTCCCATTTTTCTTATCATTATTGCCCTTCTGTCTGTTCTGTCACAAAATGTGATAAAGGGCTGCACATCCATCCAACACTGTGGAGGTAATTACTGCCACATGAGCAATTTGTGTACTTCGGGTAGCTTCCAAACTGTTTAGAGATGTAGTATTCAGAAAATCATGGTCTTTAAAAAAAACACTATATTTTTTGCTTTTATTATGATGAAATAATTTTTCAAAAATAGCTTATGTGCTTTTCCCATTCTTTAAAAAAGTAACTAGGTTAGTTAGAGCAAAGTTTAACAACGCTAACGTCAGAGCACAAATTTGACATGTCTGTAATTCCCTAAACTTGATTTGTGTAATAATGCTTTCCCTTATACTTTGAATTTAAAGCTCCTGCTTCTTCCCATCAAGAGAGAGAGAGAGAGAGAGAGAGAGCTCCTGCTTCGGGGGGGGGGAGGGACAGTGCTCATCCTATACTTCAATTTTGGAGCTCAGGCTCTAATATCTACAGTGCTCATCCTATACTTCAATTTTGGAGCTCAGGCTCTAATATCTATCTTCCTTATGGCTCAGAACTAACTTCAAAATAGTGTATAAATCCCTTCTATCTAAAGCTCATTTCTACACATTCACATAGAGGTTTTACTTCTTAATCATTTGTTTTATGAACTTGTTTTTTTTTTTTTAATTTTTGATCCTCACCAGAGGATATGTTTTTATTGATTTTTTTTTAGAGAGGGAGAGACATCGATGTGAGAGAGAAACATCAATGTGAGAGAGAAACATGGCTCACTTGCCTCCCATATACTCCTCAAGCAGGGATCAAATCTGAAACCTAAGTATGTGTCCTCACGGGGAAGCAAACATTTTGGTATATGGGATGACACTTAAACCAACTGAGCCACCCAGCCAGGACTGAATTTATTTTTTAAATGAGCTATCCTCTCATTTGAAAGTTGCTGAGAGAGTAAATCTTAAAAGTTGTCATTATAAGAGAAAAAATTCCATAATTATGTATACTGCTGGTATTAACTAGACTTATTGCAGCGATCATATCACAATATATACAAATATCAAATCATTATGTTGTACACCCAAAACTAACATGTTATGTATGTCAGTTATACCTCAAATTTTTTCAATAACTAAATGAGCCAATGCTCTGTTCCTACTAACATTTTCAAACTTCTAGTCAGTCATACAGGATTAAATAAGTATTTAGAGAAACCACTAGAAGGCCTGAAGACTATGTTCTTAAAATATACAGACAGTGTCCTTGAAAGGGTTGCTTTCAAAGAAATAGGCTAAATATCTGGGATGGGAAGAAATATATTTATAATACCTGCAAATTCTCTACTAAATCTTTGGCAATATGAGTTTACATACTGCTGTAAATTAACTGAAGAGAAGTCATCTCTTTGAATGCCCAAATGAGGCAGAAGAAAGTAATGACAATTTCTGATTTAAGAAAGAAGTGTTCATACCCATCCCCTTCTGCTAGAATAGTCGTCTGGTTGATCTGTAAGAGCTGGCTGTCCATGCTAGGCAAAACCAAGTGAGCCGACCCAGCAATTTCACTTCTGGGATTTATCCAAAGAAACCCCAAACACAAATTTGAAAGAATATATGCACCCCTATGTTCATTGCAGCGATATTTATAATAGCCAACCTATGAAAGCATCCCAAGTGCCCATCAATAGGCCAGTGGATAAAAAAAAGCTGTGGTTCCTATCTACAATGGAATATTATTCAGCCATGGAAAAGAAGGAAATCTTACCATTTGAGACAGCATGGATGGATCTAGATGGTATGATGCTTAGTGAAATAAGTCCATCAGAGAAAGACAAATACCATATGATTTCACTTATGTGTGAAATCTAAAGAACAAAATAAATGCACAACAAACTTGAAACAGACTCATAGACCCAAAGAGAGAACTGGTGTTTGGAAATATAGTCAATATTGTGTAACTATGTATGGTTCCAGTTGAGGTACTGGAAATATTAAGGGAAACGCTATGTACATTATGATTGTCTAACCACTGAGCTATACACCCAAAACCAATACATAAAGAAGGGGGGGAAAGTGATACACCTCAACCTAGAGATCCAAGACTATCCAGACTATCGTGGAGTCCTAAATTCAACAGGATAACAACCAAATGTTGTTTAGCATTGAGTTCGATCGGGAATAAAAGGATAGTGAAACTTTAGTCTTGTGTTTTAAGAGTTCTGAAATATCCACCTTACACACTGAAATGAATCTAATATAAGTCCAGCTTTAAAGTGAGGAGTCCTCCCTAATTTTGGCAAGCTTTAAAAGTCTGTAACTCAAAATCATGACTATAATTCAGTATTTTAAAATGTATTATATACAAAAAATGCTTCTATCAGTCTCAGAGAAATCAGACTTCTCTTACAATATGATTATCTGTGAGTTACGTTATAGTCTGACTAGTGAAGGCCACTTACATTTTTTTTTCCTTTTTCTTGTTGGTTCAGCTAGCATGGATCTTGGGAGCCCTGAACAAGATCCTGAAATGAAGGAGGGATATTCTTCTGTCTATGTTGGCAGAGAAGATGACATTAAGAAATCTGAAAGGATGACAGCTGTTGTCCATGATAGAGAAGTGGTCATTTTCTACCACAAAGGAGAATATCATGCTATGGATATTCGCTGTTACCGTAAGATTTTATTTTTTTATTTGTAAATCTTGTACTTGTTTGCTAACCACAAAACTATCAAAATTTCAGGGTTTTTTTTTAGTGACTAGATTTAATACTCAATTTCTTTTCAGACTCAGGAGGACCTTTACATTTGGGAGAAATAGAGGTATGTAAGATTAAATCTATTCTCAAAAAACTCAAATGTTTTCTATTTATATTCTTATTTTATTCTGTAGTCAAAAATAATTGACATTTGTCTTTGCACTATACTTTAATGCTTCTAGTATAATTGCTAATATTTTAGGAATTTTCAGCCCTACAATGTAAAGAAAACCATTTCACAGATAAATGTGAGAACTATGTATGTCTTCTGACCTAGCGATTACACTCTGAGATATCTACTCTACAGATATAATTGCACAAATGTTTAAATGTATATAGGAGATGGTTATTGTAGCATTATTTATTGTAATAAAAAATGACAGCCCTAGCCGGTTTGGCTCAGTGGATAGAGCGTCGGCCTGCAGACTGAAGGGTTCCAGGTTCGATTCCGGCCAAGGGCACATGCCCGGGTTGCAGGCTCAATCCCCAGTAGGGGGCTTGCAGGAGGCAGCCAATCAATGATTCTCTCTCATCATTGATGTTTCTATCTCTCTCTCCCTCTCCCTCCCTCTCTGAAATCAATAAAAATATATTTTTTTAAAAATGACAGCAACCTAAATGTTTTAACAATAGGAAGCAGTTTAAATAAGTTATAAATAGCCATGCTATGGAATACTATGTTTTTCTATTTCATGAAACTGATAGCCCTCTCTCTCTCTCTCTCTTTCTCTCTCACTTTCTCTGACTGGTACAAAGTACAATCTTAAACTTAGTGTGCTACTCTCTCTACACTTCCCCACCTGCCCTCATGTCCTCATGTAAAAGGATGTGTATTTAAATTATGAATGTTAATTTATAATTAATAATTTGTGAAAATATTAATTCATAATTTATGAAAATATGAATCTTTGCCAACAGTTTTCTGGGGATATAAGGTCAGTATTCCAGCACTTCTGGTTTTTAAAAAATATAAGCATCTGGTGCTGATAAATGTGGAAGAATTTCTCCCAATTTCAGACCATGACAGACCATGAGAGCTGTTAAGACCTTGCTACTCAAAGTATGTTCCATAGACCAGAAATATTGGTGTCACTTGGAAGCTTCTTGGAAATGCAGCATCTTGAGCCCACCCTAGGCCTACTGAATTTAAACAGAATGTTGGTGACTCCTGTGCTCTTTTAAATTTGAGAAGCACCATTTTAATACAATTAAGAAGTTGAGAATTGACTACTTTGGATCGTAAATTGCTCTTCAATTAATATATGCACTCATGCTTTTAGTAACCTCCCTTGAATTATATCTGAAGCTTACCATTCTTCCAGCAGTTAGTGCAAATTCCTTAAGAAGCATCTGAAGCCATTGCCTCATTTCTGTCAAGGAAGTAACATTGACATCTAATAGGTAACAGCACAGCTGCAGCAATAGGTATAGTTGCTGAGCTAGTAATCTTCTGGCAGAGCTCTATCTTCTCATCAATAGCAAAACGGATGTGATAACTGCTAAGATTAGGTCCTGCCTTATGCTGAATAATTTCTAAATGGGAGGGAAAAGAAAAGCTGTCTTGTTCTTTAACCTGGTTCTTCTGCAATAGATTCCGTGCTGAGTCTGGGGTTTATTGTGAACATTGGAAATATCAGACTATTAAATCAATTATTTCCTTCCCTAGGATTTTGATGGACGACCATGTATAGTTTGCCCCTGGCATAAATTCAAAATTACTTTGGCAACAGGAGAAGGACTATATCAGTCTATAAACCCTAAAGACCCATCAGCAAAACCCAAGTGGTGTTCCAAAGGAATAAAGCAAAGGATTCATACAGTGACAGTGGACAATGGGAAAATTTATGTGACTCTTTCTAATGAACCTGTTAAGTATGACTCAGATTTTTATGCCACTGGAAACTTCAAAGTAATTAAGAGTCCTTCCTGATAAAATTATATGGAAATGAAAAGTGTGTATGTTTTAAAAATAACCTTGCTTCAATACCAAAGATGATTACTTTTTTCCAACATAGGCACATTACTTATCTTTAAAAATCATACAGTTCTGAAAGGTTCAAAAGCATAAGTACTGAGTATGAAATCTATAAAATGCATAGGCCTGGTATGTGCACTTAAAGAAGGATGAAAGTAATTTGAACTAAAATGAAGAAAAGGTATAAAATAAGATCTATTAAGAAAAATTGGGGGGGGTCCTTATTTGATGTAGCAGGTTTTATTTATCATGGAAAAGTTTATATGCAAAGTAAACAGAATTATATAATAAACTCACATCACCCAACTTCAGCAATTTTAGCAGGCTTCCATTCTTGTTTCATTGATACCTCCAGATATTCCCCATCTCTCCCATTTGATTGTTGTTACTATTTTTTAAGGTAAAATGTAAATACACTGAAATGCTTACATCTTAACTTCTGTCTTTTCAAATATGTATACAGCAGACTTTTTACACTGAAAAATTGCCTCCAGAAATGCTGAATTTAAAAATATGAAGCTTATCAATGTGCTAAACATCAAAGCCACGTAAATCTTGGTTCAGTTTCTCTCTGGTCAAGACACATAGTCTCAACATAGGAAGACACTCACAGCTGCTGCTAAAGTACTTTGAATGCCTATATGAAATTTTCAAATAATCATGTTTGTATTTTTAGAAAACTTTGTGCATGTATGTACAACTAAGCATTTCATGCAAATGTTATATAGAGGGAAGAGATGTAGGGTGTTGTTCCTCAGAATCCTTTCTGCTGAGTTGATGTGAAATGGTTTACCCTGCCAATTATTTTTGGCCAATGCTGTTCTGGTTGCCTGGCGCCTGTACTATACTAGTAATTCCCGGGGTGCTGGTCATCTAAAACTTGGCAGCACATAGGATATAAGAACAAGTAAAAACAGAAAGACCTAGCTATTCATAGGAGAATATGAATTTGAAGAAAAACAAACCTAGTCTCAAAGCACAGCAGTTTTCTTAGTGGCATAGGATCATATTATATCTCCAAACCTAATACTTAGCATTCTAAGGGATTCACCTGGACTCTGTCCCTTCATTATTGTAAAAACTAGAGGCCCTGTGCACAAAAATTTGTGCACTCAGGGGGAGGGGGGCCCCTTAGCCCAGCCTGTGCCCTCTTGCAGTCTGGGACCCCTCAGGGGATGACCACCTGCTGGCTTAGGCCCGCTCCCTGGGGATTGGGCCTAGGATGGCAATCAGACATCCCTCTGGCAGCCCTCGGGGGATGTCCATTTGCCAGCGGGGAGCAGGCCTAAGCTGCAGTCAGACATCCTTAGCGCTGCTGAGGAGGCAGGAGAGGCTCCCACCACCACCGCTGTACTGGCAGCCATCAGCCTGGCTTGTGGCTGAGCAGAGCTCCTCACATGTGAAAGCGCCCTGACCACCAGAGGGCAGCTCCTGCATTGAGCATCTGCCTCCTGGTGGTCAGTGTGTGTCATAGTGACCAGTCATTCCCAGTCCTTCTGCTGTTAGGGTCAGTTTGCATATTACCCTTTTATTATATAGGATAGAGGCCTGGTGCACGGGTGGGGGCCGGCTGGTTTTCCCTGAAGGGTGTCCCGGATCAGGGTGGGGGTCCCCACTGGGGTGCCTGGCCAGTCTGGGTGAGGGGCTGAGGGCCATTTTCAGGCTGGCGGGTGACTGAAGCTCCCAACCTCTCCTTTTTTTTTTATTCTGGGATTTATTTACCTTCTATGGCTGTCACTGGAGCTGAGAGCCGGCGTTAGCTCTGAGGCTCGGCTCCAGCTCTGCGGCCTCCGCTGCTGAAAGCAGGTATCTGGGCTTTGTTTAGCTTCTATAATTGAAACACTGTTGCAACTCCAGCTCTGAGGCCCAGCTGACTGAAAGCAGGTTTCTGGGGATTGTTTAGCTTCTATAATTGCAACATAGTTGCTTAGAGTGCAGCTCAGAGCTGGGCGGCAGCAGGCAGGGAATCTTGGCTTCCTCTGTCACTGGAGCAAGCAAGCCTCCTGTTCGCTTCAGCTGCCTGGCTGCCAGCCGCCATCTTGGTTGGCAGTTAATTTGCATATTGCCCTGATTAGTCAATGGGAAGCGTGTCAAAGGTACGGTTAATTACCATGTTTGTCTATTATTAGATAGGATAATAAGTGAATATAGTATTATCTTCAAGGCTCTGCTTACAGAGCATTTTGCTACATATTATTGTATTTCCTTTTCTGTTGGAATATGGGTAGCATGAGGTAATACAACACTTGCTACTCATTACTCATACTACTACTAAAAAGCCAGCCTTGGGCTTTATATAAATAGTTTATGGCAATAGCTACTCACCAGGTAGAGGAACTGTACATTTTTAGGATGGACACATCCCAGTCTATTATATCAGGTGCCAGTCCTCCAATGACCAGGCAGGTCTTAAAATGTGGCCAGAATTTTAATGCATGGAACAAACCAAAGTACCTCCTACAGGCAAAGCCATGGCTCTAGTTTGCAGGCTCAATTATAGAGCATTTTCTCTCAGGATCCAGTGACAACAATGAGTTTAATGGACTTGATTTCTGGTTTTAGATCTGTTACTCTAATCTGGAAATAAAAAATGTTATATCAAGGCCTGTCCTCATGTACAGAAATATTCTCATCAGATTTGTAAATAACATTGTTTTATAAATTCCTGACATCAATGAATTGCAAAATATTCATACTTTATAGATGAGTTACAAAAGAAGTGAAATAGGCAGACTCAAACTATCTAGCCTCGTGGTCGGCAAACTGCGGCTCACGAGCCACATGTGGCTCTTTTGGCCCCTTGAGTGTGGCTCTTCCTAAGCCTTAGGAGTACCCTAATTAAGTTAATAACAATGTACCTACCTATTTAAGTTTAAAAAATTTGGCTCTCAAAAGAAATTTCAATCGTTGTACTGTTGATATTTGGCTCTGTTGACTAATGAGTTTGCCGACCACTGATCTAGCCTGTAGATAGAAAACAAATATTATTTGAAAAATATCTCTAAAAAAGACATGTAGCATTTTGATAGAGAAGGTTTTTTTTCCTTCCCAGAAAAATAATTAGAAAGATACTCAAAACAAGTCTTTAATAAAAACATAAATGTATTATACAGTACATACTCTTATATTATAAAGCACAGCATAAAGTCTAACCCCCCAAAGGGTAAATTTTCATGTTCATTAAAAAATAATCAGAGTCATATTCTGCATCGATTCATTGTTTTTTCTACCATATAAACACTTAAGAATGACATTTTATTAGTTCCTCCCCATTCTTTTTAAAAGCAGAGTAGTCAGTATATGAAAACTAGTTTCCTAGTTTTGTCAGGTGAAATGTTATTACATAGATAATTCTTAAGCTGTTCAGTGATATTTATGTTCAGATTTGCTCATTCATTTATTTCAGTTGATTGGTCAAACACAGAATGTAAAACCTGGATCTTATTACTCAGCATATTATCAGGAAAATGTGAAATATTGTCAGGCTGATCCAGTAATGAACAATAAGATTTCACTTTGATTTCACCATCGGGAAACATAGGCTCAGAAAGTGCAGGCTCAGAAAAGGATTTTCTAAGATGTTTGCTCTCCTCTCTGTTTTGCCTTATGGATTCTTCTTCTTGGAAAATTTTCTTTACCTTCTCCAGAACAGCATTAACACAGACTGTCTAATAATGAAAAAATATTGAAAAGTAAAGTTTCTTTTTAAGCTACTGAACTTGCAGATAAAAAGTCCAATAAAGTCCTATATAATAAAGAGCTAATATGCTAATTAGACCTGACAGCAGAACGACCTTCCGGAATGACCTTCCAGAATGACCAGTGGGTGGGGCCGCGAGGCAGTGGGCCGCAAGGGCCGAGGCAGCCAGGGCTGCGAGGGCCGAGCCCCTTGCCCGAATTTTGTGCATTGAGCCTCTAGTGTTTAATATAAAGTTATTAATCTACATATTCTAATAAAGAAGCACTTCCTTTCTGGAACCCCGGGCACATGGCAAACATCATGAGATTGATTCCTTGTTCTAAATATATAGCACCATAATCTAGAAAGAAAATTAAAACCTAGTATAACTCAATAAAGATATACTTTACATCCTTTTTCTCAATTCATTAATGTTCTATATGTTTATCCTTTGATTTAATTAAATGAAACATTTCCTTTATTCTCCTGATTTAATTAAATGAAAATTTCTTCTGAGAGATGAAATGTCTCCAACATGTTAATACCTCACAGTAGGTTTTCTGTTTTTGCTTTTGTAGCCCCTGGACTTTGCTTATACCTGTGTTTACAACTTGAAGGGCACAACCATTTTGGTAAAAATTTAGTAAGCTAAATGATTTCTAAATAAACATGATCCAATTCCCCTAAAAAAAATACCATTTAGTACTTTAAGAAAGTGTCAAAACATATAGAGAAATACAATTCCAAAAATAGAATGCTTTGGGTTCATGATGACATTGTAAATCCATTGTACAAACCTGGGAATACCAGCCTAACTCCAGACTTTTAATTAAGAGTGATATTTAAATATCTTTATCCATTAAGGCAACTGCAGGTATTTTTTTACTTGCATCTGAGTATGTCCAAACCTAGAGCTATAAAACTTGAGGTGCATCACTTCCAGCTGCAGACAGCTTCATGCATTTATCCCAAATATGATCATTTTCTGTGTATGCCATGCTATGACAAAAGTTTGGGAAGCCCTATCCTATTTGATATATTTCTTTTTCCCTCACCTACAAAATTTTATCTGTGCCCATTCTAACCACTTCTGTCCCAGTTTTAGAAAATGAAAGAAAGTTCTCAAGATGGTTACCTCCAACACCTTTACTACTAAATCTAATGGAAATAAAATCTTCACTTTTCTTGATGATTTCTGCTTGTTTTGACACTTATCAATCTCAACCTCCTGAGTCTATTTCCTTTGCACTGATTTTCTTCCTACTTTTCTGATTATTGCTTCCTTATCTCCATGGATTTCTTAGCTCATCTTAATGTTGTTCACATTTCTGTCAACTTTTCACTTGGCATGGTTCAGTCAGAGTGTTAATTTCCAACATATATGTTATATGCCTTCAAAACCACAATGCCAGACCTGACTACTCCTAGGTCTTGCTTGGATACATATATGACCAATTATCAGATAACCAAAAATTGTTTCTATTACCTGCTTAGAATGTTTATAGCATGACAAATCATGTGAAATTATTTCAAAAGCCTTTGGGAAATTACAGTTTAATTTTGGTTTTAGGCTTCTTTTTTTCTTTCTTTCTTTTTTTTTTGTTCAACATAGCCATTTCATCCAACTCATTTTTTGCAGTGTATTTGCATTCTAGCTGAATTGAATGCCAATTTTGTATGAAATTCACATTTAAGATATTGAACACATCTCAAAAATTTGAAACACTTCCAAAATATTTATTTGATAAACTCTGTTCTTTAAAAAAAACCTGTATATGTGTTTAAAATTAAGTTGTTGTTGTTTTTTTACTTTTTTAAAAGGTATCTTGGGTATTCTTGACCCCTTGTAATTCCCTATAAATTTTATAATTAACTACTCAACTTAAACACACCTGCTCATATTTAAATTGGGACTGCACTGAATCTAGATTATGGGGAATTTTAGACTTTATTACTGTGTGTTTCAATATGATAAGAAATATTAACATAAATGTGCAAGACATCTAACAAAAAAGCTGTAAAAATGATTAAGATAAATTAAAGAAGACCTAAATAAACAGAGAGAGATGCCATGTTCACAGGCTGAGAGGAGGACTTATTCTGCCAATTATTAAGACTTATTATAAAGCTTCTGTAAATCATAGTGTTGAATTGGTACAAGAATAGAGAAATATATCAACTGTATAGAACAGAGAGTCTTCAAATATACCTACATATATAAGTTCACTTGATTAAGAACACAATAAGTGTTCTTGGGCAATAGGAAAAGGGTGTTTTTTTCACCAGGGAAGTGAGTCTGTTCAATTGGATACCCATGGAGAAAAAGTTTGACTCTTACTTCAAACCAATTCCTAAAAGTGAAAGGTAAAATAATAAAGCTCCTAGAATACATCAGAAATAAGAGTTTCATGACTTTAGATGTGGTAAAAATTTCCTAATTAGGATATTTAAATCTCTGAACATAATGGAAAAGTTAATCAACTAAATTATATTAAAATTAAGAATTTCCATTTTAAAACACACTGATAAAACAGGAAAAGGCAAGTCATAGAATAAAGTAAATTTGTCCATATGTAACCAAAAGAGGGTTTGTTCCTAATATATTTTTAAAGTACAATAAAAAATAAAAAGGATGGACAATTCCCAATAGAAAAATAAAAAGATACTTTAACAGAAATGAACAAAAAGGACATTCAAATGTCCAATTAATGTATAAAAATCCACTCAATCTCATTAATAATCAAGGAAATGTAAATTAAAACCACAATATGATTATATCACATATATACAGGAATGACTAAAATGGAAAAGACTGACAATACCAAGTGTTGGTGATGATGTTGAGCTACTGGACTCTATAATTTCCTGGAATGAATTGTTAAAACCATTTTTGGAAAACTGTTAGGCAACATCTGTACAAGATGAACATGTGCATATTCTATGGCCCAGCAATTTCACCAAAAACATATGTACAAGAATATTCATAGCACCTTACAATAGCCAAAGCTGTAAATATTCTAAATGTTCAACAGTACAATGGATAAATAGTGATAGAGTCAATTAATGGAATACTACACAGCAATGACAATCAACAAACTACTGCTACAAGCATCAAATAAATGAATCTTGCAATGATAGTGCTGAGCAAAAAAGGGCAAATACTAAAGAATATGTTGTATATAATTTTACTTATATACAATGCAAACAAAACTATCTATGGTGTTAGAAGTCAAAATAGTGGTTGCCTTTATAGACAAGGTTAGAGATTATGAGGGGGACAAGAAAGAGACTTCTAGAATGATAGTAATATTTTTTTCTTGACATGTGTGGTACATAGGTTAATAGATTTTATGATGATTCAAGCTGCGTACTTTTCTCTTTGTATGTTATACTTTTTAAAAAAATTTAAAGGTAAGTATAAATGGCAATAGATTAAAATAAATAATCCCTTATAATTTATAAAAGCTTTTATATTTTTGTCAATTATTAAGACATTATAAAGGTTCTGTAAATCATAGTGTTGAATTGGTACAAGAGTAGAGAAATAGATCAACTGTATAGAACAGAGAGTCTACAGATATACCTACATATATAAGTTCACTTGATTAAGAACATAATAAGTGTTCTTGGGCAATAGGAAAAGGGTGTTTTTTTCACCAGGAAAGTGAGTCTTTTGATGAACACTTTTAAATTACAGCACTTGTAACTCAAAATACACTTTTAATTTACAGCACTCATAATTCAAAACACACTAATATTTGTTTTCCCCCAAATCACAGACTTAAACAATGGAATACTGAATTTTAGCCAACTATGGCACAATGGCTGAAACAAAACAGCTATAGCTAAATGAAAGCAAAAACCACAATATTTTGACCAAGTGGTAATACACCTTATAAAAACAAAATAATTTAAGTTATTTAAGCAAATTAGCTTTTAGTAGATTGAAGTAAATTTTTAATGTAAAATTATTTTGTGTTACAAGAGAATAGTACCTTGGCTTTTGAGTAGAATGTACAGTATACCTTTAATCTTACATAAGATAAGGATATTTATTTCTAGATTCTGATAATTTTGCTTAACTTACCAAATAAATTAGTGCTGCGTATGAAGCATACATTATGCTAGTTAAAGCAGTCTTTGCTGGAAAGGAAATGATATCAAACAAAGAACCCTTTCTGATCTGCAAAAACAGAAGAGAGTTTTCTTGTTAAAACAGAAGTTTTCAATGTTGCAATGTTAAATTTTACAATGTTATTGAAAAATGAGACTTTAAGTAATTTTTCCAAATAAAGTCATTCATTTACTTTAGATCTATCTGGGTTTTCACATTCTAAAAATATATTAGTTTCTTTTTTTCCTTTTGTAAAAAAAGTTTCTTTTACTCATCAAAACCTGACATGTCAATTTTAAGAACCTTGCGCTGGCCGGTGGTGTGGCTCAGTTGGTTAGAGCCTCGTTCCTTGTACCAGAAGGCAATCAATGTTTCTCTGTTTCTCTCTCCACTCCCCCCCCTCCCCCTTCCAACCCTCCGGCCTTCCCTCCCTTTCCCTCCTTAAGATCAAATAATAAAAAATAAAAACCTTAACTTTTTTTTTTTTTACATTTACCAAGTGTTCACTAGGGGGTGCTGCTGTGCATATTAGAATAACAGTCTCTTCAAATTTATGTAATCATCCTTTACTACATTATTCATTTCTTCAATTAAGCAAACAGTAATCAACACACTGAACATTTCCTGGAGATTAATGACCTGCTTGGAAATGTTAATCATAAATCTGCTGAAGGCCATCCTTAATCCTAGATGATCATTAAGCTTCAGGAAATGCTTTGTGCTCGCATCCAGCATGCTTTTTGAAACCAAGAGAAGGTTTACATCAATAATGGGTTTGTCTCTCAGATGTTTCCACCTTCTGGTAATAGAAGGTGTCCCTGCCTAGAACAAAAATACTACATATTCGATTCAAGGGAGCTATACTTTCATAGGCCACCTCTATTGCCTTGAGTAGGATATAAAATGAGGACATTAGGAAAACCATTTCCTTGCCAGTCAGCAGTGCTGTGGCCGTTAGCCATGCTCCTCTGCAGTAACAGCCGAGCTACTTGATGGCTTCAATAACCCCCAATACAGGCTGTAGCGGATAAAATAATGCACACAAACTACAAAGAACAGATATTTACAACATTGAAAAACTGAAACAATGATAGAATGATTAGGTAAATTACACTATATTACTCAATGGTATATTGCAGCCCTTTCAAGTGTGTTTCCAAAGAACCTGTGATAACATTTTAATGAACAAACATTTACGTGGCACTGTGTACCAGGTTCTGTTCTAAATACTTGTTATTGTAGTAAACTCTGTTTTTGCTTGCTGCTGTCACTGCTGAATGGTGAACAAAATTGCTATCACAAGTTCCCTTCTTATTTCTTAAGAGATTTATGGAATGCTGAAGCAAAAATATTCTCTGGCCTAGGAGCTAAGAGATGGCTGGTGGGGGGAGGCCCTTCTTATTCCCTACCTTTCAGGCTATACCAACTCTTAGATATAGGGATAGGTAGGGGCAGTTTTAGCCCCCTCCTTCTATAAGTCATTCTGGAAATTTCCCCAGTGTTCCTGGCTTCTGAAAAGATTTTCCAGGAAATAAAGCACTTGTTGCTGTTTTCCTCTCGTAGAAGAATCAAAATGATAGCATGCCTTTGAATCCCACTGTTAGGCTGTAAGGAGATGTTATACTAGTAGAGAGCAGATGCTGACATTAGGAAGGAAAGCAGATACACTCCAGCAAAATGCCTCCTAGCAGAGTAAAAGATAATGAGTTTGTGAATATATAAATGTGAGAGGTCCATATTTAATAACTGGTAAGCCATATGCAGTAAAAACAGAAGCGTCTGAATGCATAAGTCACTCTTTCAATGCATCTTTCTCTTTCAGATTTTGTCCTTCACCTAAAGGTAATTAAAACTGATTAGTTTCAAAATAAATTATGTATTTGATACATGTTGTGCTTCTGAGTGATGAATCTGTACATTGCCTAAGGGTCAGTTTTTCACCACTTTAATGTTTTTAATAAATACTTGCTATTCCTTTGACAAATCATTTTTTAGAAAATACATTTCCTCCAAAATTCATGGCTATGGGCAAGTGGCCATTCTTCAAACTTATGACTCGCTTGTAATACATGTTTTTCATATTATAAGCTACCCTGTTTCATCTTTGGCATGCTATGAGCAGGAACAGTGTATGGTAAAAATGAGATAAAGAAAAATTTGGTAAATTGAAGGCTTTATTTAAATAATCTTGGCCTATTTCAGAAATTTTATCTTAACCTTGTTGTTATATTAATTTTATGTTTTTTTGCATATTTAAATTAAAAGTATTTCATATCAATATTATTCCCATATATTTCTTTTTTAATTTGGTAATATTACTACATAAGATATATGGATATTTCAACAGTAAAAACATTTCAATATTTAAATTTCCCCCACATAATTTTGACTGCTTCATTTCATAAAAGAACTGTGTTTATCTTATTTTCACTAATAATGGGATAAATCACCAAGAAGGAAACTATAAGCAGTTTAGAAAATAAAGATCCATTTACAGGTGACCTGAAGGTTGGAGAATTACCAGGTCCCACTTAGTTTATGTTGTCCAAAACCATCTTGGGGAGGGATATCAGGGGAGTAATAGGGAAAACTAACTCAGTGACTCACGAGTAGGTGTTGTAAGAAATACTGACTACTTTAATGGACAGGTCCAGGAAAAAAAGTGTTTCCTATTTTGGGAAAGCTACATGACCATGTCTTTGCTTAGCAACTCACAATACTAATGAGCACAGGAAATGCTCCTAGCAGTCCACACAGAGTAAAGAAAGTTATTTGACTTTGTTTATCCCAGTATTATCCTGTGGAGCACTGGTTTCAAATAAGCTCTTAATTGGTTGGTCCTGTAGAAGCTCAAACATCCCAACCTCTTGGCCAAACTGGAGAATTATGCTTTCAAGATTTCGGTAGTTCTGCTTTCTAGGAATGGTCCCTTTCCCCAGGTCTTGAATTACACGACCTAAGAGAGCCTCATGGCAGGCTCATCCAAGGACCTACAGAAGTGCCTGATATTTGTGAGGTTTGTAGTTTAAACCCAAAACTGTAGTCTACACCGGAGGGTTAGGGGTAAGGAGTAAACTTTACTTAGAAAAACCTGACCCTCATCTTGGAAAAACACTGTAAGTCACTGGGGTCCACCTGTGGCACAGACCTTTTAGAGGCGGTTTTCTTCCCTTTGCCTGCACAAAGTAGAAACAGTTATCTCTAATGCCGGAAGTGCTCCCGGTCCTGTGGCCCTGGTTGGCCTGCCAAAGTCAACAACTATGTCTGGGAGCTGACGTGTCTTGGCCCAAGTCAGCATTCAAGCTAATTATCTAGGTCACTGCAGCTTAGAGCAGCTTACAAGGCTTAGCAGATGCACCAATCTGTGAGCACTGGTGCTGGGAATGTCGAAAACCATCAGGATATTCTCCACTCGGTTTTCCATTCCTGAGGCCCCTTCTAGAACTTGCAGATACTAGTATATCAGTACAACCTCAGCCCTGCAGAACCTAGAAGGCTTTGAGGAGCAACCTGACTCAGCACCCACAAAGGTGCAAAGCAAATGCCAGGTGCCAAGGAAGTCTGTTTTTTTTTTGTTTTTTTAAAAATATATTTTATTGATTTTTTACAGAGAGGAAGGGAGAGAGATAGAGAGTTAGAAACATCGATGAGAGAGAAACATCGACCAGCTGCCTCCTACACATCTCCTACTGGGGATGTGCCCGCAACCCAGGTACATGCCCTTGACCGGAATCGAACCTGGGACCTCCCAGTCCGCAGGCCGACGCTCTATCCACTGAGCCAAACCGGTTTCGGCAAGGAAGTCTGTTTTAACAAGATGTCCAGCTGGAACCTCCTAACCCAAACTCTATGTGCTCACTCATGTCACAACAAGCCACCAGACCCTTCAGGTCACCTGTATCAGTTGGGCCTTTGGGTAATTCATATTTGGCACAATACTAGTATCTTTGAATTGAAGATATATAGTCAGTGTCCTAATGAAAATACTCCTTTATGTTCTTGAGGGAGGCAATCTGCCTGACTGGTGTTCCCACCTACATAATATCCAACAGAGCTTTGGTAGAATCATTCAAGTTGCTCTGGGTACACCATCCTCTCATCAGAGATGAGACAGAGCACATGAAGAGGGCCTTTGAACATACCTAAAGATAGCTTAATGAGGCTCCTTGCTTTCCTACATAAAGCGATGTCCTCCATGCATCCGCAAAGCATATCTCCTTGCAAAGTAATTCCAGATTTCACTCCTTTTACTTCTGCACACCACAAAGTTCCACCTTGACACAGGCAGCCTGGCAAATCTTGAAAGAATTCATGTTGGAATTCACTCTGCATAAGCTGAACTCCGTCACGTTGGGAAGGCAGCCAAGCAGTGTACCAGGGCTGGTATAGCTCCTCTGTGCTATGCCACTTACATCTTGACACACTTTGGTGCCATTGACCGATCCATTGACCTCCACATCGCATATGTTATTCTGTTGTTCCTTTGACTCTCCAGGCCACTGTCTTCACTGTTCATACTTCTCTTTTAGTCATCACTGAGACTTTCAGATTTGAGATACAGTATGTTGTTTTCTTCCTTGAAACAAGTTTGTTTCCTTTCAGTGGCAATTCTGATTCTACATCCTAGTTAATGCACATTCTCCAAGTAAAGCTTCTTCCTCATTTCTACCCTCACGGGCCCAGGGACCTCTGACTTGGGACTTTCCCACTTGTCTCACTCCAGCCATTTAAAACTACTCACACTTCCTAAGTAAGGCATGCTCTTGATTGCTTCAGCATCTTAATATACACTGTTCTCTTCCTGGAATGATTCTCCCTTTGCAAGGCTAATTTCTCCTACTTCAAGTCTCAGGTCAAGTATCACCTTCTGGAAAGCCTACACTGACTACTCTTTGGAATGACATGCCCCTTGTTGATGCTTCCATAGTGCACTTTGCACACTTTGATGATGTAATTGCTACAATCGACTAGCACTGCTCGCTTGCCTATAACACCCACAGTTCACAGGCCCAGGACAAGACATCTATAAATGCCTACTACCGAAGCTAATGATTTTACATGTCAGGTTTTCAAAAGTATTTGTTGAATGAATGAAAAAGTAGAATTATACTTTACTTACTTCCAAAACCTAATTCAACCATCTTATACTGAAATTTATAAAAGATATTAAGAAGTAAAGCTGGGCCCTGGCCAGGTAGCTCAATTGGTTAGAGTGTCATCCTAATATGTTTCTCTCTTTCTCTCTCTCTCTCTCTCTCTCTCTCTCTCTCTCTCTCTCTCTCTCCTTCACACCCTTCCTCCCTCCCTCCCTTTCACTCTCTAAAATAATCAACAGAAAAAATAAAAAAATATCCTTGGGTGGGGATTAACAAGCAAACAAACAAAGCAAAGCTGAAGGATATCTGGTTCCAGCAACATGGCAGAGTTAATGGAGAAACACACACACACACACACACACACACACACACACACAAAACCTACAAATTCTATGTAAATTTCTACACCAAAAATGCAATATAAAACTGAGAAGAAAAGAAGGAAAGGAAGGAAGGAAGGAAGGAAGGAAGGAAGGAAGGAAGGAAAGGAGGGAGGGAGGAAGGGAGGAAGGGAGGAAGAGAGGGAAGAAGGAAGGAAATCCCCTTGCCAGGAACAAAGAGGAATCTAAAAACTGGAAGAGTAAGTGTCTGAGTTTATATCCCAGGAACTCTGGGGATGTTACTGGACCCTGAAATAATGGCTGGGGCTTGAGTTTCAAGAAAGAGGCTAGAGATGAGACTTAGATACACATGAGGTGAGGAGTAGGCCTTTGGGGAGTCTCAGTGAAAGTGGGCCTGGGACAAGTGCACCCACCAGTCCAGGAAGAAAGTAAGGAAGCTGGGCTCCACCAGGGGCCGATACCCCTGGAGCACCAGCTGAATCCTTTAGAGGAACAGTTCTAAGAGACAAGGAATTTCTATTTTTTAAAAATCCCTGTTAAAAAAAATTTCAGTTAAATAAAACAAAACACCAAAAGAAATGATCTACTATGAGTGAGACATTATATCACAATAGTCAGGAAGATTAGCATCCCCCAAATATCTCATAGAAAAATCTTTTAAAGGACCACATAGAAGTCTGTTTAAAATAATTAGATTTTTTTAAAAGAAATAAACTCATAAAAGACACTTTGAAAAGAAAAAAAAATTGGAAGTTTGGGGAAAACACCAAATAGAACTTCTAGAAATGGTAAGTATAATGTTTGAAATTTAAAACACATTAAATAAGTAAAATAGCATAATAGATACAGCTGGAGAGAATTGATTAACTGGAGGATAGCTCAGAGGAAATTATTCAAAATGCATTTAAGAAAGATAAAGGGAAAATATGAGGACATAATATAGACAAAGAATGAAGTGAGAAGATTCTAAGCATATTTTAATAGGCATTCCAGAAGAAGAGATTAGAGAAAATGAGAAAGAAGTAATATTTAAAGAAATAATGACTAAGAATTTTTCAGAATTGAAGAAATTATCCTCAGATTCAAGAATCACAATGATCCCCAAGGGTACTGAATCTAAAAAGCATTTGACAATCTATATATATATAAAAGCCAAGTGACCATAATGACGGAATGACCTGAACAACTGGAATGACTGGTTGCTATGATGCACACTGCAGCAGCCAACCGGCCTGATCAGGGCCCCGATCGGCCCCCCAACTTCCCACGGCCCCTCCCCCCCCACCGACCCAGCCCCAATCAGCCCCCATCAGGATGGGTGGCCAGACCCCACCCATGCATGAATTCATGCACCAGGCCTCTAATAGATAATAAAAATGAAGTCGTGTATCCCTCATGACCCAGCAATCACTCTTCCAGATACACACCTGGAGAATGTCTCATACATATGCATGAGGAGTTATTTACAAGAATGTTCACTGAAGCACTACTTGTAATACAAAAAATTTGGAAACTAAGTTATCCATCTGTCTAGTAACAGATAAACCGTGAATTGTTTTTTCTTATAATAGAATACCCCAAAGAAGTTCAAATAATAAAGCATAGCTACATATATAAATTTTTGAGTAAAAAAGGAAGTTTCAAAAAGATAAGTACAGCATACCTTTTATATAAATTTTAAGTATACACAGTAAAATATATGAATACAAATGTAGTGAAAATATAAACATATGCATGGAAATGTTCACATCAGCATCAGGATAATGATTAAGTTTGGTAGAAAGAAAAAGGGGACAGGATTGGGGCATGGTTAATTATATTTCTTTTTATAAAGGAGATTTCTGAAGGCAATATGGCAGAATATTACTACCAGGTAAATATTGATGGAACTTCTGATAAACTACCTTTCACATATTTTGAAATATTTTGATAAAGATTTTAAAAATTAAAGCTATGTCCTAAGACAATTAGAACAAGAACAAAGGAGAAGAGATGGCATAGGTGTTGATCCTGAATAGATGTCAAAAGAGAGTCAGAGTCAGCATGTGGACCTTAGATAAGTCATTTAATCCTTCAACCTGTTTCTCTCATCTCAGGTTCCTGGAATAAGTTATCACAACTAAGCTGTAAATTTACCTGTGAAACTCACTGTCAATCAAGGCAAAAAGGCAAACACATTGTGGTTTTCTTAATATTAAAGGAAACACAAATTCAACAGAAAATAGAGATTATTTTTCTGCCACTGAATTTTCATGAGTATAGGCATACAGTTCTCCAAAGATTTCTTTCAGCCCTGTACAGATTGGATCTTCTGAGAACAGGACATGGTTGAATAGCAAACAATTTTGAAAGAAAGTATATTCCTCTGGAGAGATCTAGTGATGTACTTCCCAAGACATGTCACAGGGCACTAAAAATAAAGGCCTCTCCTCCTTCCCCTCCAGAGACACGTGCTCCTCTCCCTCCCTCTCTCTCCCTCTCCCCCAACCCCACCAAACTGGGCAGACTACCAGCAACCGTATAAAAGGCTAAATCTCCTAATTTCAGGTTTCCTCTCCTGTGATGCATATGTACACGCAGAGATAACATCTGGCTCTTAGCTCATTGCCCTGTGGGAACTGCAGGGTAGAAAACTGACACAAGATATTGCTCTGGTTGCTGCGCTTGCTGTGAATAATAAACAATCTGTGTCTCTGCCACAAGGCTCTGGTCTCTGTCAGTGTGTGTGTGTGTGTGTGTGTGTGTGTGTGTGTGTGTGTGTGTTTGTATAACTGTGGCAGGCTAACTTGTTAGCTTGTAAATAATGTAAAAATCTCATCCTTCACAGCAAAGAGGAGCAAAGGGAAAGACTATGAATAATGTAATGGACAGTTCCTTTAAACATGATTTCATAATGAATACAGAAATGGTCTTCAAAGGACACTTTTACATCAATCCTCTGTAAAAACGTTGGATCTAACAATGCAAGGAAAGAAATGTCAAGGCAAAACATTAGATTCAGACAGACATTTTGATGGGAATTTAAAATTATATGAGTCAGCTATATTTCTTTTTGATGATCTAAAGATGCACAAACACAAATCATTTTTTACTTTCTCAAACATCAGGTATTATTAAGACAGCTCTTTATAATGCTGTCTCAGGCAGTTCATAGTTGAAATATCTGATGATTTCTGGAAATGGCAAAATCTTTGATTAGAGAAATTCCTATATGATGAATATTTTGTTCATTTTAGCAATCCCATCCATTATCCATTTTCTCCGCTCAAAACAACCCAGATTTTTGTATGAGGATTCATCCTCTCCCCTTTCTCAGGTCATGTGGTCTGGATGGAGTTCCAACCCCCACTCTGGGAATGCTGCAGGTAACTGAGTTCTAGACCCATCAGTGATTATCATTCCCCTGGTTTAGACATAAGCCATTCTCCAAGAGTGAATCTCAGGCTTGGCCAGGAATGCTGAGTCAAGGATGCTCATTCTTTTCTGCTGTAATTCAGCCTGGAAGGATGAAACCCTGGAACAGCTGCAAATCATCATGTGACCATGAGAGAAATATCAGTCTGAGAATGGTGTCAACACGGGAAGCAGTTCAACACGGAAGCAGAACCAGGCGGCGGAGAGAAACAGGATCCTGAAGGCATCATTTGAGCACCTGTATCCAGCTATGCCCGAAACCTTATCGACTCTGTTGTTCAACTACATGAACTAATACATCTCCTTTTTGGCTGAACTCAGTTTGAGCCAGGTTTTCTCTCCCTTCAACAAAAGAATTAAAATTAATTTATTCTGGGGATTGATTAGATGCCAGACTTGCACGACTCTAAATCTTTTGTAACAAATATTTAGAATGCTTTGAATAATGTCCAGATTGAAAAACCCAGAGTTCTGTGACATAAAGTTTAGGGGGGAAAAAGTCCCCAAAACATTGTAAGAACTGTTAGCCTTTATCAGAGCCTCAATGAAGCAATCTGAAATATACCTGGATGTGGATAGGTCTATCAAAATGAGTGTATAGTTAAATATACTCAATATATTATGTCAGTCAAAGATGAACTTGGAAACATAGTTTATGAGGAAATGGAAAAAAACGATCATTTTTAAGGTTTGTTGTAGGATTTTAGGTTTGACATAAGTAGTAATTTGTAGACTGATATTTAGGATGAAACATTTGAAATTGATAGTTTTATATAATTCAATTAAATAACGAGATAGAAAAAGTCAACATTACTTCCTCTTTCAGATTTATTTAAACCAGAGAATACACTTGGAAAAAGACCCAACTATTCATTTCTCTTATCCAACTATTCTTGTTTTACATGTAGGACAACCAAATGTGTCCTACATTTTTCAAATCTTGCAATTTTCTATCAAAAGGATCCATATCTTGTGCAAATGTAACATTCACTCACCTGCATGTTATATAGGGGTTGCTTTGGTGCGTTAACTTCCCTCAGCAGGCGGTGAGATATGCACCTTAACTCTAAAAGTCTACAAGCAAGTCGAGGCTGCAGGAGTTTGGCCACTGATTTGGAGGATCTGGATATGCTGTTCAATCCTTGAATTAATGCTCCTCGGTTGATCTTGGCTAAAGCAATGGCCATTTTGACTTTAGATGGCTTTTTCATGGTTTCTCTTTTCTGGAAAATAAGCCTTTGAAAAGTGACTGATGTGTGATTCTCCAGAGAATTAAAATCTACTTTAGGTAGAGAACAAGTACCACATAATTGTACACTGTGCATGGTCCCAGGCATACACTCCATGTTTACTGATGATATCTCACCCCCTACAACTCATAGACCCCACTATGTACTTAAATCTCTACATGAATATATGAATTGTTCCTTAGGATAACTATCCAGAATTTCAGTTATTATTGTAAAGATATACATTTTTCCACTTTTCTCTCTAGGTTTATTTATTTTTTTGCATCGATATTTAAGAGGTCTTTAAAAAATAAACAATTCTTATTTAAATATTATTCGATGTTTGAATTATTCAAATGATAATTATTATTCAAAACTTGTGTTTCCCAGCTTACTTTAAACATTTTAAATGATAAAATAGAACATACATACATAATTCATAAAACAAATACCCTATATACTAATCAACAAGCTTAGGACACTTCTAAAAAATTCTATGAGCGTTCTGAAAAATGTGTGGCATTACCAAAACACATAAAATGTAGTACTTCTCTGCTCTACCAGAAAATGAATCAGAGGGAAATTACTTGCAATGTGGTCAGACTGCATTCCAGGCAACATACAAGTATAGTTTCCATTCTTCTTTAAAGTAATGTTACGGGCTTTTTCTGGCTTCTTAGTATAAGCAACTTTGAATCTCTATTTGTTGAGTCAAAATATGTAAGTATAAAATATCTTTTAAATGAATTTTTGGTCTACAATTAACATTACTAGTATATATTTGTCTAAGAGCTAACATGCTGTATATTTTAAATACCTCAATTTTCATCCTGAAGTAATAATTTTATTATTGTTGCTTTTGTCCTCAAAGTTCAGTCTTCTCTTACTGGTCAGCTTTGCCATGGGAAATAAAAATAAAAAGCCATTCTAGCCTGTCAATGAGGATGTATTTCTGCAGCATGTGCTGGTTTAATCTGTTAACTTTATGGAAAAGTCCCATTGGTTCACCTGTGATCTTAACCCTGCTAGTCTATACAACAGCAGAAAATGCAATCTAAATTATGGACTGCTACAATTCCAAACCATTATAGAATAGAGCCATTCTTACAAGCAAATATGTGGTAGATAGAGCAAGCAAAATAGTACGAGTTGCAATCAACTCCGGTTGTGAGCGTACCCATACCGGGGAGAGGAACCACATTGTCTGCAGTATCCAAAGCCCCTGCACATACAGATTCAAGTCCTCTGTGACCTTATGCTTTGTTGCTGTCAGGGCGTAGAGAAGGCCACCCCAAAATATCCCACAATGGCATATCAATTGATGATCTGTTTGCATGCCTTTAATTGTTTTTTTGTTTTTTGTTATCTGGTCTTGTGCCAATTTTATTATTAGTCCAGCTATAAGAACTCAAGAGGGACAGAGGAAGGACTTCCCATCCCCCACACTGCACCGATTCTTCCTCCCAACTCCTCCTCAAGGTGAAGCAGCTAGAATAAGTACATTCTGATTACAATATACTGTGCTTTCTCTCATTATAATTTCTAATCATCAAGATGAGGGCCACAGCACCAGGGCGATCAGGAATGGGACATGTGCAGTTGTTCTGCCTTTACTGAAACCTGCTCTACCTGATCACTCAGTGTTTTAGGAACCCTTCATTTTTGCAGTTGCAAAACATTAGCATTCTACATTTTTCCTCTTTTTATTTTATGTTTCTTTATAAAATGTTGGTGATCTGTACACATTGACCATGCACTGAATTTATATGTGTATTTCTATTAACCAATCTTGATTAATTCCCCCAAACACTATACTAAATTGAGCCATTCAACTTTCCCCTCTTTTCCAAATTGTCTTTCTAAATTTTTCTCTGTAGAAAATTAAGCGTATTTGTAACTGATTATCTGTTAGTCAAAACTCTCCCGTAGGGTTCACATAATTTGTGTTGAGCAAAAGATAGCATTTATTATACACAATATTTTTAAAAATTCAAGTGTGTATTACAATAATGCTTTCATGCACTTTTTATTATCTTTCTCTTTTTAGTCTCATCGTGAATTCGTGGCTTTTTCCAACAGACTTAACCTGTTCCTCATCTTCGTTTCCTTTAATGTTTAAATGGTTTCAATTTAATAACTGTGCTTCTTTTCAGAGTTTTGTTTTTTTCTTTTCTTTTTTTAATCCTCACCCGAGGATATTTTTCCATTGATTTTTAGAGAGAGTGGAAGAGAGAGGGAAAGACGAAGAGAAATATTGATGTGAGAGAAACACATCGATCGGTTGCCTCCTGCATGAGCCCCAACCAGGGCCTGGGGGACAGAGAGGAGCCTGCAACAGAGGTACTTGCCTTTGGAATCGAACCTGGGACCCTTTGGTCCACAGGCCAATGCTCTATCCACTGAGCCAAACTGGCTAGGGCCTTTCAGAGTTTTCAAAATGCTTTCTCTTTTTTAATACTTTCTTAGATACCTCAGAAAGAATTACTTCTGACAACAAACTGTTTCTGACCACCTCCACTCTCCCTGCCACAAAACACGGAATCAACTTGTTACTGCTCTTAAGAACAGTGGTAGAAACCAAACAGGCACTGGATGCATGTCCGGTGGTTCCTCGTGTCTCTGGAATACGAAAGTGACAGCAGAAGACAGCTACTTACATTCATTTAGATGGAGAATGAGACATTCTTCTTTTTAAAACAACAACAACAAGTCAACAGTTTAACTTGATGAGTCCAATTAGTTACTTTTAAAACTAGCTCTAATAGAAAAAATTTAAATAGAACATTTCCCCCTTTTTTTTGAGCTACCAGCTTTTTCTTTTTGTCTATTATCTATGCTATATATTTTCTTACCTAGCTGTGTGTGCAAACTTAAATGGTGACTCCAAATTAAGAAGTCCTCATTTCTTTTCCCTCATTTTTTTTTTACTCTTGGCATAAGTAAGGATCCTTGAATTGGTTGCAAAATATGCAAGTTTAGATGATTATTTTTGTCATCATTATCTTCATCTGAGCATATCAGCAAATGTCAGAAAAGAAATTCCAACCACCACCATCACCTCAGAGACAGGTACTTAAAGACCATTTACCAAAAGAAACTTAATCAGATTGGTTCAAAATATTTCTCTATTTGAGCTCCATCCTTTCAATACATATCCTGCTTTCCCTTTTTATTTTATTTTCCCTAGAGCCAGGCCCATTTCTCTATCATCAGCAGTTTTAATGCTGAACTCCAATTTCTATTATGCCAGCTTTTTACTACCCTACATCTATAAAGCCAGCCTGTCAGCAAATTTTACTCAATTCTTTTTCTGAATAGCCCACTTCTCACTGTCCCAATACCAATACCCAGTCCATTGTATTTATGTATCACCATCATCTCGTCTGGACATTGTAAATTAGCCTTCTCACTGGTCTCCCTGCTTCTGACCTTGCCTGTTTTTATTCTTTTCCCCAACACATCAGCCAGAGAGCTACAATGGAAACATATGTCAGATCATATCTTGCTTTTCTTCTATTCAACTGCTTCAGTGGCTTCCCGGTACATTCAGTGTTAAAGCCAAAGTACATACCACGGTCGACAAGGCCCTACAAAGGTTGTCTCTTCTTTTTTTAAATTTAATTTAATTTATTTTTTTATATATTTTATTGATTTTTTACAGAGAAGAAGGGAGAGGGATAGAGAGCTAGAAACATTGATGGGAGAGAAACATCAATCAGCTGCCTCCTGCCCACCTCCTATTGGGGATGTGCCTGCAACCAAGTTACATGCCCTTGACTGGAATTGAACCAGGGACCTTTCAGTCCACAGGCCAATGCTCTATCCACTGAGCCAAACCAGTTAGGGCAGGTTGTCTCTTCTTTACCTCTCTGGCCACCTCATCTGTTTCTCTCCTTTTTCCTCCTCGTTACTTGTTGAACTTGTTAGGTATACTCCCATCTCAGGAACTTTGCACTAGCTATGCCATTTGATCCCTCAAGGATACCAACATTCTCTTCCTCACTTGCTTTAAGTCTTAATTCAAGAATCACTTTCTCACTAAGACCCTCTAGAGTCTTAACCATCAATTGTAATCCCTACCCTTACTTCATGTTTCTTCCATGCTGTATTTTTTCTTCTCCTTAAAACCTACTATTAACATATGTTTTTTTCTTGTTTATTGTGTTTTTGCTTGACTAGGATTTAAGTTCTATGACAATTTTTTATATCCACTTCACTTACTCATCTTTCCTCAGTGCCTGGAAAGATGGCACACAGTAGGTGCTCTATAAATGCAAGTTAAAATGAATGAATGATGAGTATCAGAAAAAAATCACAATAATGAGAAATATCATAGAAATATACCAAATATTAAATTAGAAACCACCCAGAAAGTTTTCAGTGCAAATGTAGTTTTTAACTTTCACAATAATGATAGTGCCCTACAAGAAACAACCTACCAAAAATAAAAATATAAACTGAATTATAGAATATCCTAGTTATGGTCAGGTAGATTTCTCTATAAAAACTCCACCATCATTCCCATCAATTTTTTTTTTTTGCCCCAGGCCAGCAAGATGGCCTTTTCCTAAATAAATAAATGCCTAAAATAATAATTTTTAAATTATTTAAATACTAATCACAACGTTTAGAGATTTAAGATACAATCCAATTAATAAAGCCCTCATTCCTTTTATTTTTATTTATTATTATTTTTTTAATATATATTTTATTTTTTACAGAGAGGAAGGGAGAGGGATAGAGAGTTAGAAACATCAATCAGCTGCCTCCTGCACACCCCTTACTGGGGATGTGCCCGCAACCAAGGTACATGCCCTTGACTGGAATCGAACCTGGGACCCTTGAGTCCGCAGGCTGACACTCTATCCACTGAGCCAAACCAGGTCCTCATTCCTTTTAGTATGTTTGGGAACTAAAGAGAATTATAAAAATAATAAAATTTGCAACATTTACAATATGACCTTTTAAAAATAATCTAGTTAACAATGAGGTATTAGCATTGTTTTCTGGATAATTTATTTTTGAAGAGCAAATAACTTCAATGTGTTACCACATCTCCTAACTATTTTGGTTCCCTGCCAATCTCAGTAACACATTCTTCACAGTAAATGGTGGAAAAGAACAATATTAAGTATTTTGAAAATGAGAAATGAAGAACTTTTAACAATGTTTATATTCTCTGAGTGGGGTAAAGTTTTTATAAGTAAATGACTTCAATGAATTGGAACTAAGAAGAGTTCTTTCTTTGAGGATTAGAATACCAATCTACTTCACCAGAAAGCATGGTGCGACTCTAGTGATAATGAGGCTATGCAGAGGGCAGGAAGAGATGAAGGGAGTTGTAAAGAAACCTGAAACTTCTTTGATTAAATAAAATCCCTGTTCTCTAACATTGGCAATTGTGGAGGAATCACAGCTGGAAGGGGCAGCGGGGCTTTCCTGGTCTGTGTCTGGCCTCCTAAGAGTCATTGAGGCTCTCTCAATAATTACTGCCACGACTGTGCTGGCCCAAAGCATTTTACATCCCAGACCAAGCACGGCCACCTGCTCACCTCTTAATGCTCCAGCCATAGCCAAGAAAACTCTCCAATGCTTCAAAAGACTTATACCAAGACCAGGGGAATGTAAAGAGGGGAATCAAAGGGACACCAAGTCTAAGATATGGTACTACAAAACCCAACTTGCCTTCTGGAGCTTGTAGGCCTTATCTTACCTTACTTAGATGACCTCCGTCTGGATGCCATCTGACTGCTATGCATCCAGATAACTATTCTTCAGTGTCACCCCTCCCCAAGGTCTAGACCAGCCGTGGGCAAACTACCGCCCGCGGGCCGGATCCGGCCCGTTTGAAATGAATAAAACTAAAAAAAAAAAAAAAAGACTGTACCCTTTAATGTAATGATGTTTACTTTGAATTTATATTAGTTCACACAAACACTCCATCCATGCTTTTGTTCCGGCCCTCCGGTCCAGTTTAAGAACCCATTGTGGCCCTCGAGTCAAAAAGTTTGCCCACCCCTGGCTAGACCCAAGACCCATGCCATTTATTCGGATTTACTTGACATTCTGGGAACATGATGCTTAATACTTTTTGGTCTAACTGACACTGCTTCCTTTGAAATATTCTTCTCTGCTCCTGCCTACTTACACCTTTGCTCACCTCGTAAACTCCTATTCATCCTTTGACACTTAATTTAAGCATCCTTCCGGCATGAAGCCCTCTCTGGCCATTCTAGGTAGAGTCCTTTATTCCTCTAAACTGGATTTACCTCTTCCCATATTCTAATGCAATTACTTGTTTATACTTAGTCTCCACAAGATTAAGCACAACGAATGGAAGAATCCTATCATGTTTATCTCTGTATTCCCTCTCCTCAGTCCCATACAGTAGTATTTAGTAAAATACTAAATACCAGTCTGATGCCCTGGGTGTCTGGATGAGAATGGTTAAAGGTAGCTCTAATACCTCCTTCTCTGGAATGAAATATATAGGTTTTGTGATTACAGTATGTTACTCAGAGTGCTTTTTTTGTTTACTTCCAGGTTTCGGCTATGTTCTTCATGTTTGACATTGCCAAAAGTCTGATTTCTGGATAGGTAGATTGTTACTGTACCACCCAACTTTAGAACGCATTCCATTCCAACTGTGGTCAAAACGACTAAAACAACACTTCCATTAAGAGCTGTGTACTTTTAAGTAAAGTAGGTTACATGTGTCCCCTACATATGTTACTTTTTCCTGACCATAAAATTCTCTCTTATCCCTCTTCTAATTCCAAAATTTTATGTTTCAAATCCTTTTTGGAACAGATGTTTAAAACACATATAGTTATCTTTCCTTTGGTATAATTTATGTCAGTTATGTTTTTTCACTGATTTAAGTGCCAGAGATTTTAATGAAAGCATATTTAGATATTTTTCTGATTTTATAGTAAGCAAATATAAGTAAACTACATTGCAATTGTGACTGAGAGCGTTCTAGTTTTTCAATCTAACAACACAGTGACTGTCTTTAAACTTAGTTTATCTACTTCACTTCTTTGTCCCCAATCTCTCCCAATGAGTAAGAGTTAAAATTTGTGTGTGTGTGTGTGTGTGGGTGGGTGGTGAAGTGAAATTAATGTTTTTCTAATCTTCAAACATTGACCTCAAAATCAAGCATTAAATAATTGGTATGATATTAAAAACACAATATACTTCTTATAATTCTTTTCAGTTATGAAATCACATTACCTGATTAGACTGTGATACTCGTGGGATGGTAGAAATATCATCTTTAAACTCATCTACAAGGTCCATGATTGTTTTCTGGATCCCCTCAACTAAGACAAAAAGAAGTTAAAGGGGGGAGGGAATCTTAAAAAATATCCCCTAACCATAATTCAAAACAACAGGGAACACTGGGTCCACTGCTTAGGTGGCTGGAAAAACAAGCAAACCCTAGGGAGCTTTATTCCGTTTCCCACACCCACATCCCCTTCACAAGCTTGTGTTTACTTCTTCCAGAAAAGTTCTTCAACACCTGCCCACATATCCACCCAATTGGTTTGATTGGCATGATGAGTTCTTGCTTGGGTTCCTTTGGCTTGGCAAGCTTCCAGGCCTGAGCAATGCTTGTCCTTCTCTCCCATTAGTGAGGGATGAGGGCAGCTTTCCACTTGGGAGAGCAGGGAAGGATGGAACCTACAGCTTACGGCCAGAACTCTTTGTTACTGCACAATGGGCCTCTGAGAACTTGCTACAGAATCTTCTGAGATTGCTCTGGCAGTGAGAACTGCATTTGGAGGCACAGGGCAAGAGAAGGGATTGAAAAATGAGCCACACTAAGGAGTTCTACAATATAAATGGAATTTTGTTCCAAATTCTGCAGTGATACCTCAATTAATGGATCATCTGAGAACAAAGCTCCCTTTGAAATGAGTTGGCATATGTTTTAAAAGAAATGATTCACATACGATGCCAAGTGGAAAAGAAATACCAGCAGTTAATTCAGAAAGACTTCTGAACAGATTGTTTTCCTTACCCAAATGAAGGTCACTAGGTCCAACCTAGGCAAAATGGTGAAGCCTTTGTTTTGCCTGTCTTCTTTAAAATCTTTTCATCTTTTTCCCTCCTAGTACTCTCCCATTTAGATGACCATTATTCTCCTCTTATCAAACCTGGGAAGAACTGCATATTGTACAGACTATTAATAGACTACCTAGTTACAATTCAGTGCGGATGAGTTGAGTTGGTTAACACAAATCCCATTTAATTTGAAACCTTTTCATTTAATTGTAGCTAAGTGGTTTTCTTCAGCAAGCATAAAGTGGCTGCTGGAGGTCTATTGGTGGGAAGTGTTTGGAAAAGAGAAATGTTCATCAGAAGACTCTTCTACCAAGTGGAGCCTGACAGATTCCGGGCTTTCATACAGTCCTTAGTCCTAAGAAAGCTCCCCACCACAGCATGACCACCTGTCCTAACCTTAACCTGCCTTCCTCACTGCTTAAGATAATCACACCCTTAACATTTGGAAAGTGCAATCATTGCCAGAAAGAATATCTAATTATACAAAGGTGAACATACAAACCGGGGGTCTATAAGAGAACAAAGCCCTTTATTTGTCTTATCAAGATCCTTGGCTATCAGTCTTCCTCAGAGGAACACCTGGTAGTACCTTCTCTTATCTTTTTATCTATTCACCCACAGGGTCCTACCTCCCAATTGGTTTCACCCAGTTTTCTTCTCTTTTCATCAGTTCTTGCTCTTCTGGGCAGCCTATAAAATTAACAAATCTACAAGAAAAACATTTATCATGCTATTATTTCCTACACTTTAAGCAGAACCTAACTATGTGTGTTATGCTAACAAAGTCCTTTTTGTCTCTTCTTTCTAATGAGCCTGATGAAAAAAGACTGGGCATGGTGGTGGTTATAAAGTAAAAAAATTCCACCCTGCCACATTTATATTTGTGACCATATGATATTTTGCTTTTTATTTAATCATATTTATATATTTATATCCTGATGCATCTTAAGTTATTTCAGATAAAGTTAGATAAAATGTAAATGAAGATTATTTTCTTTATTGTTATTCTTTACAACTTATATTAGAGTGCTTCATACTGATAAAATAAATTCTAATAAGAATTTGAGGCAGCTTGTATGTAAATAGGATGTTCGTATATTGAATCATTTGAAATACACTAGGGAAACTTATTCTTTAAAAGTAATCCTAGATAAATTATTCTATAAGGTAAATAATACTTTTTTAAACTAAAAATAAATAGCTGATACATCTCTTGTAAATACAGATTTTTCAAAGATGTTTCAAAACAGGCATATTTATATAATTTTGTTTCTTCTTAAAAATTCTTTAAAAACTATATTCTATAATTTCAGTTGGGTACCATTATATATAGACCTGGAAAGCCTGATGGAAATCTTCAAATAATTACAGTAAAGTGATAGGCTAGACAGGGGACAGAATTAGCAACCTCAGAATTGTTACCTAAGTTTTGGAATTGCTGATGTTTGGTAGTATGGTAGGAAGTTGAGAAGGTCAGATTTGTTTGTTCATTATTTTCACTATATATATATATATATATATATATATATATATATATATATATATATATATGCCTAAGCAACCATTACGACCAGATAACGGGATGACCGGACAACCGGCTGGTAGCTAGGATGTGCACTGACCACCAGGGGGCAGACGCTCAATGCAGGAGCTGCCTCCTGGTGGTCAGTGCACTCCCACAGCCAACCTCTCATGGCCAGCCAACCTCCCACGGTCCCTCACCCCAGCTGGCAGGCCCCGATCGGCCTTGATCAGGGCCGGCTGGCTAACCTCCCAGCCCCAATTAGGCCAATCAGGACTGGGTGAGACGGACCCCCAAATGGCCCCTATTGCCAGCCAGGCCCAGGGACCCCACCAGTGCACACATTCGTGCACCAGGCCTCTAGTCACAATATAAGCTCCATGAGTTCAAGGACTCTGGTTGGCTCAAGGCTATATTTCCCAATAGTTAGCATGCTTTTACAATTTTACAATATTACAGTAAATATTTCCTCAAGTAGTGTCATCAAATTTGTTACTGATATCTCAGGCAGGATGAAATATTTTATCATTAACACATTCATTATGGTGTCAATCAACTGACCTATAAGTGCAGAACACATAAGACATTATATATATACAAACATATGCACACATAATGCTTATCAAACATTAGAGGGAGAAAACTTTTTCTCCCACATATAAAGCACTGCATTATTATCTATTTAATCCCTCAGAGTAAATACTGGCTTATGTCACATGCCCTAATAAGCTGAATTAATTAAATCAAGATAAGCTCAATAAAAACTAGAAAACAGACACAATGCATCATATGTCTTTGATTTCCCTTTCTGCTTTTTAGGGGGTAAATAATACTGAGTATATTAATTGCAGATAATCTATTATTGTTTATATCTGAAAATAGAAAATAAAAGTGTAGCAGGTTAATGGGGTTGGTATTGATAAATATGAGTAAAGTACAGGATATGTAATACAGTAGATATCAAAAGAATGTACATGTGAAAAATTTCAAAATGTTTATTTTTTAGAAAATAATCCCTAAAACTGAAAACCAATTGAAAAAAATTAGCTGTATACCTAAAAATGATTTATTTTGAGTGATGTTAGAACACAGTTCAGAAGATCCAAAGACAAAAAGAACTAAAAAGACATTTTAAATTTTATTCAGTCATTTTCTAGGTAGTGTTAATATTGGTTTTCTTTGAAATTTTCCTCATACTACAGGATAAGCACACTTTTAGATTAACGATGTTATCAAGAATTTCAGTAAAATATTTAAAAAGACCTAATTAGAAAAATCAAAGAACAAAGTAAAACATTGTAATGCTGAACAGAATTGAAAATATTATCATGAACGAATGATTTTTAAAAATACATTTCTTTTCTAGCTGTACAGACTTCAATGGCTAAAAACATTGCCAACCAGTAGAAAAGAGCACCCAGGACTCCTTGAGGAAATAGCTTATATCAGGCTGGGGCAGACGTACAAGGTGATCCAGGGAGATCTCAGGCCAGAAAGTTTTTTGAAGATTAATGGGGTCCTATTAAAAGGACACAGAAGCCCGTAAAGTGGCTTCTACTGGCCTTCAATGTGATGATTATGATTTGGGCTTTCCAATGGAAGGATCAAGCCATCATCATGCTAATCCAGTGGTCAGTACAGCATCACTAATTATGGGACAAATACTATATGTTTCTTAATATAATGCAATATGAATTACATACCATCTATGACATATCCTAGCCAAAAATGTTCCAACTTGACCTAACTTTTAGCTCTATCTTCCAGTTTCCCAGAATACAGATGGACAAATCATCTAATTCAGTGCTTCTCAAGCTGTAGTAAAGAACCAGTACTTCTGTAAATTAAAAATGAATTATCTGGAAAAAGAAATGCATATGAAAACATAAAGGTAGTATTGGTGTTTATTTTTAAATATTTATACAGTCAGATAAAATTATCTTTTCTTTTTAAATCTTCTGGTTTTCCTGTTAAGGTAGTTTTTCCAGTCCCTAAATTTATATATATATACATATATATACATTTTTGTCTGTTTTCTTTCTTTAAAAATTAATTTATTATTTTAAAATGTTCTATCTATGCTTCATTTTTAACACTCCGGTGTGGGGTGAATTTCCCGCCAAAATATAAGATGGCTCTGTCTTTTGGTTTTGTTCCATCCACCAAAAGGGTGGATTACAAACAAATATTTGGTAATACGCAGTTACAATCGGCCCGAGTTTACACGTTTCCCGCACTCCACCGCAAATCTAGTTATGGGAAAAAAAGAGGAACAAATGTAATCAGAACAATAAAGATTTAATTAAAAAAAAAATGTTCTATCTATGCTTCATTTTTAAAAAAGAATATATTTTATTGATTTTTTACAGAGAGGAAGGGAGAGGGATAGAGAGTTAGAAACATCGATGAGAGAGAAACTTTGATCAGCTGCCTCCTGCACACCTCCTACTGGGGATGTGCCCGCAACCAAGGTACATGCCCTTGACCGGAATCGAACCTGGGACCTTTCAGTCCGAAGGCCGACGCTCTATCCACTGAGCCAAACCAGTTAAGGCTGCTTCATTTTTAATAGGCTGTTATTTTATTCCATCTGAATACCCAACTGTCTTAGTACCACTAATTAAATAAGCTATTATTTTCTCATTGATATGAAATAGCACATATATATACACACACAGAGATATATATGAACTATTTCTGAACTTCCTATTCTGGCCCACTGACCTATTTGTCTATTTCTATATCATTACAATACTGATTTGTAGTCTGCTTTATTTTCTGTTAAGGCAAGTTTCTGTTGCTCTTCTTTTTCATTATATTATTTCTAGCAGTGTGCTCCCTCAAAACCCACCCCCCACCTAATCTTGTTTTTTCCACTAATCTCTTGGATTTCAGTATCATCGGGGGAGGGGGTAAATTATCATTTTATTGCTTCTTTTTCTATGTCCATACCAATTATTTTATTATAATATTTAACTGCATTCACTAGGACTTCCAAATCAAAGATGAATAATAATGATACAGTAGAAACGCCTATCTTGTTCCTGTTTTCCATTAAAATGACTTCAATATTTTACTGCATACCAAAAACTAACAGCAAATGTTATCCTAAACAACCT